TAGAATAGCACAAATCAGCAAGATTTAAAACCTCCCATTCTCAAGTTTGAAGCCCCTAAAGGGAAAATGCAGTTGTGATGCCAAGGAACACAGTCGTACATTATTTGACTTTTCCTCAGCCAGGCTGACAGCAGAGGTGGAGGGAGGGAGGAAGGAAAGAGGAAGGGAGAGGAAGATGGCATTTTAATAGCACCCACACTGATTTCACACAGTGGGATCACTGTGCTCCAGAGCGGCACCATTTCCTTTCCCCTTTGCCTCACATTCAGCCAATAGTACTAAGCCAGGCTCTATGGGAAGGATTCTTAATCTTTTTCTCCCAGCATGGATTGCATCTTAGCACAGAAATCCATCTTGTGGACACCACCCCTCACAGGATAGCTGGCTAGCCCACCATTTACCCTGACTTTTGACAGACTATTACCTTGCACGCCAAGTCTTGCACAGACCACCCCCACCCGCATCCCAGATGTGACTAAATGGGCCAACATTCCTGCCACAACAATATGGATTATTCTCCCATCTCTTACCCTAGTTCTCTTAGTCTCTGTAGCACCCACAGTAATTGCTTATCTGAAAAAAAAATACTAACAGGAATGTAGTTAATACAATTTAGCAAGTGGATACACAAGAACCGCCAGCATCTTATGTCGATAAATCTACCTAGTATAAATCTACCATTGAGGCGCTGGAGTGGGCCCAGAGAAGGGCAATGAGGCTGGTGAGAGAGCTGGAAAACATGCCTTATGAGGAGCAGCTGAAAGAACTGGGGTTGTTTAACCTAGAGAAGAGAAGACTTAGAGACCTTATTGCTCTCTACAACTACCTAAAAGGAGGTTGTAGCGAGGCTGGTGTTGTTCTCTTCTCCCAAATTACTGATGATAGGATGACGAGAAATGGCCTCAAGTTGTGCCAGGGAAGATTTCGATTATATATTAGGAAGAATTTCTTCACTGAGAGAGCGGTTAGACACTGGAATGTGGTGGAGTCACCATCCCTGGACGTGTTCAAAAGGCGGGTAGATGAGGCACTTGAGGCTATGATCTAGTGTTTAGGGAAATGCTGGGACGAAGGTTGGACTTGATGATCCTGGAGGTCCTTTCCAACCATGGTGATTCTGTGATTCTACCTTTGCAGATGTTAGTCATACGCCAAATATAACTTGGCCAGAGCTCTCATCAAAACATTTCATTTGATAATTTAGGTTCTAAGACTCAAAGGTCTCATACACATTAATGGGTTTTCCATAACGCCTCCATCAGACAGAGTGACAGTGATCTAAAAATTCTGGCAGGAACTCTTACTCTAGTAGAGTGTCAATGATCACCACCATCCATACTCCCCATTTAAGAGCTCCTTTAACTTTGCAAGCAAAAATTTGAGCTGCAACATTCCTGTAGCAGAAAAGCCTCAAAACAGATCAGAAGAATTTGAAAACGTCGAAGTGTAACAAATATTGCTAAACGAAAGAAATTCATCCATCCAGGAGTATTTTGGATTTATTCCACAAGAACAGAAATTGAAAATTATTTCATAAAATTATTTTCAGGGGAAGAAATGAGTCGTAAGCGATTATGCTTCACAAAATCCTGGAGTAAATGCAATTAGATACTGCTTTATGACATGGCTTCCATTTTGTATAAATATGCCAAAACCCTTCTAAGTATTCTACAAAACCAGTAGGATATGAATGGCATTTTTTTTCCCCTCCCTCAAATAAAAGCAAATTGTATTAAGAGACAGTGAGGTTCTGGTAAGTTAATACACATGTCTGTAAGCAACAAACAAACACTTCATGTTATAGGACCACATGCTTGTTGTCACAAACCAAAATGAAACTATAAAGTGCAAACCTTAAGTCACTCTGACACCCTCTCTATTGGGAAGTTAACAGACATTAGTGACTCGCACGCTACCCACGGTGCATGGCAGACACAATATGGAGTTTACCTTTGCAGTTAAGAACACCCGGGTTTATCGTTGCCACAAACAACCCTAACCTCACAATTCAGTTGGATATTTTTGCAAATTATCTTTTTTAATGCCCTCTGCCATTTTCAGTTCAAAGGACTGATTTTTATTTCTCCCTTCTGTTCCTGGTCAGCAGCAAAAGGTAGAGTCAAGACTCATCTGACATCTCTCATTTTTCAGCTCTTGCACAGCAACATACTATCAGGGAACCTTGTCTTTGTCATAGCATGATGAAAATGCAAACTTCACTCAGATAGGGAACAGTAGCTTGCACACACACTCCCAAGGATTAGAACTGTTTCGCAAGAAAAGAACTCTTCTCAAGAAGAGGAAAATCTGCCACACCGTTAGGGCTAGCCCCTCTCTTTTTAGAGGGCTTATGCCTGCTGAGAAAAGCTGGGCAGCAAGAGAAGTGGTTTAACATATCATCCCAATGACTGAATGTCTCACAGTGCAGTCACAAATACAAAAATTTCACTCGTCCTTCCCTATGGTTCTATTTTAAAATGTTCTCTATAATAAAATTACTGTGAGACAGCTAAATCCAAGGGCAGGCATGGAACTTGAACCCATGGCCTTCTGGCTTAGAGGTGAGACTATTTCTAACTGAGCCAAAGTGACACATACATAATATGCTTTCAAGGTTTTTAGAGAGCTCTGTCATGATTTAAAAACACTAAGTCTTTGTGGTACAAACCACAGCGCAGGAAAGAACTGGGGCTCCCTTTCTACTGCTAATTTTAGCCAATGAATTGTTTATAATCTCCTGCAAAAAACAAAGTCTTATTCTGCCTTAAGCTAAGAAAGAACAGCCTTTCAAAACTGATTCTTAATAATAGTGTTCCCCTGCTAGATGGGATGCAGGCAGGTTCCAAAATTGTGTCACAATATATGAAGTGATAAAATGAGGATGGGTGAGCTATTTTTAAACACACTCAAAGACTTTGAGGTCAAAATCCCTGAATTTATAGCCTTATGGCCACATTAAGACTCATGGATTATTAAGACCTGCATGGTGAGATTCAAATATAATTCCATCTGAAACACCCTCTGGCTTCAGAGCATGTGTTCTCTACCAGTCTGCCTGCCAAACTGGAGTGCCCCCAGGGAGCTACCTTTAAGCACAGATTATATCCCTACTGTAGAGAGGCATTAAAGAGACAAAGGGGATGAGAAACTTCCATCCCAGCATATTCCCTCCTTCTCTTTTCCCAAGACATTTGGCAAGTGAGAGGCCTACCTTTCCAGATGGGCTGGAAGTGAGTGGGTTATAGAAAGAGTTTGAGGAGTTTTAGGCAAAAGCACATAACTGCTACTTACTTTACCCAGTCTGAAAAGCTAACACAGCCTCAGGCCCTGGGGATATTCCCTCCCTAAAGTCCTCTTTCCCGTTTGAAGAGGGCAGACAGGGACTTGCTGCTTGGGACAGGATGGAGAGCTGCTGCCCAGTAACATTCAGCCAGGTTTAAACAGAAGTGATCCTGCCCAGTCCTGCATGTTTTCTCCCCCGCCACAGCAAGAGAGGCTTTGCAACACTTTCTGAAACATATCTTAGACTTTAGAAAACCCACATTTACAACAAAATAATTGTTCTGCTCATGGAAACAAACCATATACAGGCATCACCCAGTTCTGGAGCGCCCATTACAAGAAAGATATGGAAGTGCTGGAATGTGTCCAAAGAAGGGCCACAAGGATGATCTGAGGGATGGAGCACCTCCCCTATGAAGACAGACTGAGAGAGTTGGGGCTGTGCAGTCTGGAGAAGAGAAGGCTCTGAGGTGACCTTATTGTGGCCTTCCAGTAACTCAAGGGGGCCTATAGGAAAGCTGGGGAGAGACTTTTTAGGATGTTGGGTAGTGACAAGCCTAGGGGGAATGGGGCAAAACTAGAAGTAGGTAGATATAGATTAGACATTAGGAAGAAGTTCTTCACCATGAGGGTGGTGAGACACTGGAACAGGTTGTCCAGGGAGGTGGTAGAAGCCCCATCCCTGGATGTTTTTAAGGCCAGGCTGGATGGAGCTCTGAGCAACCTGATCTAGTGGGAGATGCCGCTGCCTATGACAGGGGGGTTGGAACTAGATGATCTTTCAGGTCCTTTCCAACCCTGACAATTCTATGATTCTATGATCACCTGGGAAGGAACTGGAACTGCCTTTGTCCCCACAAGCACCCAAATCAATGGCAGCAAAGGCTTTAAGGCTCTGAGGACACAATGATTTGCACCATTTACATTGTTCATTTTGTAACTGAGGTGAAGTTTTATGAGAAGTCATTGCACAGAGATGAGCTAGTTTTTTTTTTAAAGTCCAGACAATAGTTAGAAATGTAAGAAGAAGACAATAGGCTCTAGCACTATTTTCAGGTGAGTGGATTTATTTGTCAACTTCTGCAATTGCATTTACCCAAGCATCACCTAAACTTGTCATTCTTTCCATTTGTATTTCCATGCACTGGCATGTAAAATAAAATACTAATGAGCTGTAGATGGATAAAGTAAAAACACTAGCCAAAACAAAATTCAGACCTTTTCTAGTTTCCTTATGGAATTATAAAGAAATAAAACCACACAACATGCACAAAACAAAAGCCTTGTAAAAAAAAAAAAAAAGTTTAGTACAAAATGCCTAGTGAGCAGTTGAAAACATAATCCAGTGTTTTTGGCTTTGTTAGTAATTAACATAAACATTTTGATCAAAAGTAGTTACTGGAATGGGTTAGGTTTTATACCTATCAAAAGACTACGATGCACTTATTAGAGGGTCTCCCACTTGGAGCAATGCTGAACAGATCCATGTCCCTTACTTAGGCATTTTGCAGGTATTTTATATTTTTACAAATCCATGGTATTAGACCATCCTCTAAGCATTAAAGACTCATTCTTTCAAAATTTCCCTGCCTTGGTCTGAAAATCTTTACTATTACAATAGCATTGTGGTGAGTTCTGAAACAGTTTTTCTACACAAGGTCAAAAGATATCATTCTTTTACAGCTAGAGATGCCCATGACTTACCTGTGAACTATTACTTTTAGGAGTTGAGCTTTATTTATCTCCAGCTGCAGTCACTAGGAATCTTCCTCCTAGAATCCACTGGCATTTACTTGGACTACAAGAACAGTTTCCTTACATTTCAGGAGTGGCAAAATGAGTTTTAAAGCTTTTCCTACAGGTGTCCTTTGTGAGTTTGATTTTCAGGCACACAGAATTCCTGAACTCTGCTCTGTACCACAAATCATCCTTCAGCTACATCCTGTACTCCTGCATCCCACTCTGCTCCCAGTGAAGCCCCTGGCAAAATTCCCACTGAGTTTAACAATTCTGTCCTATTCCCCCCAATCCCTAACCAAGGTTAATTTCTTTTCTCCAAGTATAAACAGAAATCAGCAGGTAAAACAGTTTTGTCTAATGTGGCACTAAGGCTGTGGAATTTACTCCCATGTGAGAATGGCACAATAAAGTCATTTGTTTAAAAGTAAATTGAAAACATTCCAGCCCTCTCAGGCTTATGACTATTAGCTTTAGTTTCTGCACAGCACTGTAGAATGTCTGCCATCAAAGACACTTTGTACATTGCACTGAACTTGTATTGGACTCTGTTAGCGGACTATTAATCACAGCGAACAAAGATCCCATGCAAACACAAAAAGTACTGATTTTTCACATGTTCTGCATAGACTAGAAAAGGTTAACAGCACAGTTTTCTGGATACTACACATTTTGAGACATGAAGTGTTGACAAGGCATCTGAGAGGGTGCAGATTTTTCAGTTGATAATTACATATTCCACATTAAGCAATTCTTATTTGTGCCTAAAATTCTGTAGAATTAGACAGAAAAATACCTCAGCATAAACTAGCACAATTTAAATTCAGATGCCTGCAAATGCATGTACTTCTTTACGCCTCTCCCCCTGCCCTGATACCATGCGCGTGTGCAGGGGCAACAGTTATTGGCAAAGAAATCCACAATGAATTATGCTTCACATGAACCATGAATGACCATGATTGAAGAAAGTGAAGGCTTATGTGAAACACACACTAAAAGATCAACTAGCCTAAGGGGATGAGATTGTATGTTTGGAAGTGTTGGAAGAGGAATGGGAACCAAACCAGTACAAAACCGAAAAGCCCTGAAAAGAAAAACCATTCAGTGGGCAGTCAAGCAGCAAAGGAGGCATGCAAGAAAGACCATGGTCTGGAATTGCAGGCTGTATTCTGGGGTGCAACTTACTGATAATATCAAGAGAGAAAATGCTGTGTCACAGGAGTGTGAGTTACTGCTTTCAGATCATGATGGCTCTCATGGACAGTTTCTTGTCATCCGGACCAGAGCAGGAGAAAACCTAAGTCACTGGCCCTGAAGCTTGGTATTTGACAAGATGATTTCCATCGGGTTCCTCAGAGCAAAGTATTTTGGCTACCAGGTTTTCACGGACAACTGTCCTGGTGAAACAGAGATTACTGTATCATTATCATTCTTTCCCAACCAGGACAGATGTGAAGGGAAGCAGTGAGGGAATAAATCACTACCCTCAGAAAAAGAAAACTGGATTGTGCAGAATCTCCTGAAAGTATCATTGATATACACCCAAATCCAGTCATCAGCCCCCAGTAACCCAACAGCTCCTGCTACTCCACATGGAGTGGGTGCAGAATCACAGCACGGAGGTATCAGCCCAGTACTTGGGTCTGTGGAACAGCAAGTGCAGCACACACTCAACAAACAGGAAGAAAAGTGATCCACATACAGACTTGTTAGCTGAACCAGGACTGTATGCAAGGTTTTTGAAAATGTTTGTAAAGAAGGACTTGAAATACAATTTAAAAAAAAAAAAAAAAAAGAGGGAGAGGGAGAAAGAGACAGGGAGAAATTAAAATAGTGATGCATGCCAGACTCAGTATATTCAATAATTTTCTCACTAAGGGAAACTTGACAGATCTTTGGTTCATCAACGTGATACTCTTAGGAGACTGGCAATTAAGTTTATAAAGATGAATATTAATGAAAGAATGGTACAGTAAAAATAAAAAACAACTGACAGATAAATAAATTATAACATGGGAAGAAAAACTAGCAGCCTTGAAGGATTTCACCATCAAAGTCTCCAATGGATCAGTCTCACTGAAGTAAAATAGCATGAACTTGCCAGTTAAATTTGTTTCTGCCCATAACACAAAATTGTGAGGTATTGTAAACACAATTGGGGATTGAACAGTGTCGGGGAAGACACGGATAACTTCCAAGATTAGAAAAACAGAAACAGAATAAAATAATAGTGATATGCTGACAGACTAATGATAGCTGCTGTGCTAGACTGGGAGCTCATCAGCTAGTAATAACAAAGGAAAAGAAAGACCCCAACATCTCTAACAAAGCATCATATAATTCTGAGACACTGGTATAAAGTGGCCATGAGAAGAGCAAATGCATTGGTAGTCTCTGTTATGAGCAATGCAGGTCCAATAGAGAGAGCACTGTTTTCTACAGTATTGGTGCAATCTTGTCTGGATGACTGATGTAGGAGGTTCTATGCCCTCTGGTGAAAGAGAAGGCTTTACATTTCCCTTGTTTTCAGGGTTGCTGCACTATTTCCTTTGGAGTCAAATGAAACTGCGTGGCCAGAACAGGATTTTGTCACAAAGCACTGAAACTGCTTTTCAGTCTCCATTGTGTAGAGCACTGCAGTCTTTGAGAGCCCTAGACAGTTAAATTGAAATAGCTCTGCATCTTATATGAACTATACAGTTTTCTTCCGTCCTCCCCCACAAGGTCCTTGTCCATGTTCCAAACCATACTCCACTGCCTCTGAGCCGGAAAGGGCTCTGCATCAGCTCTCCCATTAAGCTAGTGAGTATATCAGGGAAGAAAGAGTGAAAATATTTAGTTAGCAGTCTTCAAAAACACCCATGCACACACTGATCAACCCAAAGCTGCTTCTGCTGTTTACTGAGCCTGGGCAAAGACTGTGGCCTTTTGGAAAGACTTTTCTTAAGAAGCATGGAGACTGTTGTTTGATTGATTTCTTCAGTAGGGGCTGGAGAAGTACTGCATGTTCCACAGGTCTGTGCAGAGCAGTTTAGAGAGCCTGGTCAGACTAGATCAGTGGTGTAAGGAAACGGTTTCCATCCTTCCAAGCATAATTTTCTAATTCTGGTCCCTGAACTGCAGGATCAGTCCTCTGAATCTTCACCTTCTATGGCTTTTATGTAGGAATTAGAGGTGCCTGGATATTCAGAGTAGTCTGAAGGGCAAGAGGAGCAAACAGTCCCTGTCAGTACAGCAAGCTGGTCCCATGGGTTGACTTGCCACTTTCTGTCATCCTTCCAGAAGCCTTCATCCCACTTGGTAAGAGGGCATGACCCTTGTGTGAGAAGAGCAGGCAGCTAAAAAGGCAGGTAAATAGCTAAGGATCTTGATGCTCCAGTTAACACATGGGCTGCTGGTTACAGCTTCCATGTAATGGAGAATGGAAGGAAAAAAATCTTTACCTGAGACTCTAAAGCTAACATTTAAATTGATAAAAGCAAGTTGGACTGAATCCTGAGTACCAAGTATCGCATCTGAGACAATCACCATGTCAGTGACTAGTCTCATCTAACAGAAGGTTTCTTTAGAAATATTGGAGGATCAGTTGATGCATTTGAGCATCTGCTACTCCAGCTAAATATATATATATCTGTCTAGTGAAAGCTTTTGGGGTGTTTATCAGAAGGGAAATGGTAGAAGGGGGTTAGAGGGAGGTGAACTCTTTAAAATATAATTTATTTTCTGGCTACCTTCCTTTCATAAGGAAAAAAAAAAAAAAACAAACATCCAAGAGTTCAGCTTAAATTACAGGCATGTAGACAAGCTCTCTCAGCCTTAGAAATTCACCCTACATGTTGATTAATAGTCAAATTATTAGAGCTTTACCATGAAAAATGGACTAGGCTTCAATTGAAGAGTGCCTGTAGCTAATGATGCAGTGGAATGAACATTTTCATTCCAGCTAAACCATTCCTGTTCCTGTAAAAATAAAGAAATCCAATCTTGGGTTATGAAAAAGACTCAAAGAATTCTACATAATTCTTGGCTTAAAAAAAAAATGCCATGCACTTTAACAAATCTGTATATAGATGTTAACTGTTAAGCCAAACATACATATAATTACATACATGTGCACACAGAGTATAAATATCTGAAGTGAGGTCAGGGAGCAGCAGAAGAGTTGGTGATCATAACCTAGAATTTCATAGGTACAAGCACATTACAGAGTTACTAGATTTTAACATAGCTCCTGTCTCAGGCTAAAAAAATGAAAATGTAATTTAAAAACACACCACAAGGAAGTGCAGTGGGCTATAGAGCATCTGCCTGGCAAGGCTGCCTGACACAGGCAGGAGTTGCCTGGAGATCTCCCTGCGGTTCAATTGGGCTTGAAATCAAAAGCAGTGGAAGGAGGTAATTAGAAGTGACTCTGCACCACTGCACTGGCAAAAGAAGACTCTGCTGCAACCACCGAGAGGGGGTGGGAAAGGATTCAGGGGTATGTAAGAGAAGGCATGTGTCTCTCCAGCTTTAGTGATTTCCATTATGGAAACACAACACTTTACAGCTTTTAACCTTTATGCTGCTGAAGTAAAGTATCAACCTTTTGTTTTAATTTCAGCACATGAAATGCAGATTCCAGTTTGGCTCATGTCAACAGCACATTCTCCCTAAGCCACAAATAAGGTGCAGAGTTGAAAAAGCACCACAAGGTAGAAAGCTGAAAAGCAGAATTACACAGAAATAGTGATTGCCACCAGCACTTCTGCTGGCGAGACCAATGATTTTCAAGACTATAGAACTTGGAGAGAGTGTGGGGGAAGGCCACGAGGTTCAAACTGTCCTGTTGGCTGCAGGAACAACTATTAAAAGAAATTAAGAGAAAAAGTCAGACCCCAGAAGGAGCAGAAGACTCTGTGTTCCAGCTCTACCCAGCTGAAGGAAAGTTTATATAAAAACAATCACTTGCTTAGTGACTCATAAGGAAAGAATCCCTAAGCTTTCTTTAGGGAAACCCCAGTAAATAACATGTCTAAAAAACACATGAAGATGGTGCTGTCTATT